TTTTACTTCTTTCCCCACAATATGAGCAAATATGGAATTGAAGATAAGTCTAGTTTTTCGAAAATCTTCATAAAAACCATTGTCTAGGAGTTTTCAATATTATCATCAGATATACCATAATTAAAAACGTTCTAAATGTACTTTACGCTATTGCTCGATGCATTTTAATCATTTTATGACAAACGTTTGCCTGTTTTAGTTTGGCATGGCCATTGCGTCAAACCGACGATTCGAAGAACATATTAATGAAGAAGAAGACGACTTTTGGGGGCACGCCGACGATAATAACGAAGAAATCGATCCTTTTGCAGGACTAGTACAAAAAAACACCGAAGTAGACGACCATTTTTCAAGCGTAATGGCCAACAACATCTACGAACAACACGACAAAGACTTTGATCTTTTTGCAGCACCAATCTAACAAAACAACGAAATAGTCCACCATTTCCTAGAAGCGATGCCCAACGACGTCTCCAAACAACACCACAGAGCAATCGATCCTTTTGCAAGACTAGATGAACAAAACAATGAAGTAGACGGCAATGTCCCGAGAGTACTGACCAACAACATCTACGAACCATTCTGCAAAGAAGAAAATTCTTATTCGATAGCATTTCAGCAGAACGATATAATTCGTTCGTTAACTGATTTTTCTCTGGAGAAAAAGCAATCATTTAAATTCACCGAGTTTAGAGTATTGAAAGCTTTCAAATCTGCACTGCAAAATTTTGAATATAGCAACACCGTTTTACAGGACATTTGGAAAACGATTATATTGGTGGCGAATGCGAATTCAATGACCATCACTCAACGACTCGTTCGTGCACTTTATGAATATGTAACGTCACAATTACTTAATTTGCCATTGATTGAAGCTAGTTTTCACCTAAAAAAGTTACTCAAAGAATCAGGTTCACTAACTGTTGAAAATTCAATTGAGGTCTTTCATGAATATTTATCTTCAACCAAAACTAAGCCATTATTCTATCGTCATTTGTTACATCCGGGTGTAACTGAAGAACAAATCGAAGAATTCATGTCACCCATTTGTCAATTAGCCGAGCAACTGGTCGATATCGAATTGGTCGTTTTTTTCGATGAAGTGAATACTTCATCGTGCCTCGGCTTATTCAAAGAAATGTTCATTGATAGAACATTGCACGGAGTCAAATTACCAAAGAATATGTTTTTCACCGCTGCTGTTAATCCATCAATATCTCCATTACCTAACGATAATCGCGCTCATCGTAGTGATTATCTCGTCCATCGATTACCACAATCGCTCGAAAATTTGAAAGTCTGCTATGATATACTAGAATCAAAAACTTTAGAAGATTATATTCAACAAAAAATATCAATGTTTCGTGTTGACTCATTATCAAATAATAGTGAAACACAAATGCCATTAGAAGAATATGTGCAAGAAATGCTGACAAAATCTATTCTTAAAG